AAAATAATAGTTGTAAAAGAGATAATCGACATTGATTATAGACATTGAATATTGAACATTGAATATTGTACATTGTACATTCTACATTCTATCTAAAAGTCTAGAGTCTAAAGTTATTATCAATTAAAAATGTATAATTAATTAATTAATTAATTTTTATTGTTCAATTAAATATTGTTAAATAATAGTTATTAAAAATATTAATAATAATAAAGTGTATAGTTATTTGTATTACGATGAATTTATAATTTATCAATTATCGTACCTACATCCCCTTCGAATAAAACGCACTCTATCGGAGATACAAAGAAACTGACATAAGACCAAATGCCTCGTTACTATTTTCTATATACTTCAGAGCTATCCTGCCTAAATCCTTTATTTCATAGCAAAATTACAGACGAAGTATATGAATAGACCAAGCATCTTACAGGTATTTCATGGCTCATGACCTGAAATACCGACGTAGTAAAAAAATCACTGGTTTTTTAGCGCACTCTATGTTTAAATCACGGTGAGTTGGGGAACTAGTGAATGCACCAGTAATATGATTTTTTGTTCATTACAATGTTGTCAAACTTTCAATATCGAAATGTAAAGGACTGTACCAAGTAAAACGATACAAGCAAAATGTTTAATGGTATCTCCAGATTACATAATACGAGATTAGTATTTAAAATTATTCTATTAAGTACTTGTGTGTGTGTCAGAAAAAGCCCTATTCGTGTTTTACGAATTTATCGATTGCTTTTTCGTTGGAAATGATAAAATTATTACTTGCAACGGGATGTTCTATTTATTGAAATATACTTAGGGAAATATATTTAGAACGGACCTGATATTTAATCAAAAAGGAGACCACATAGAAAAGATCTATCATTTTATCAAATCATGTGTAAAATATCTATCATGTTTTAAAATATCTATCATGTTTTAAAATATTAATCATGTTTTAAAATATCTATCAAAATCTAAAGTCCACAGTCTTCAATATTTAAAAATGTTATAAGTTATAGGTTATATGTTATAAGCGATAAGTTATCATTAAAAAATTCAATCTATAATTTTAGAAATCAATGCTCTCTCTAATAACTCAACAAACCCTTTAATTACATAAAAACTAAATCGTGCTCGCAGCCGATTAGATCATATTAATTGTTATAGTATTCATAATTGTATCGTAGGAATACAATTAGTAATTGCATCACAAATAAAAATGATAGCCCTGGTTGAGATATGCTACGTACAGAAACCTATCCTTATCCAATCCATCCTTCTTTTACTTCAAAACAAATTTATCCAATAAAACAAAAACTTCTTTCGATATGCGATTGCAAAATGTTTACAAATTCTTATCATTATGCAAACGAACGGCAAAAGGAGTTAAAAGGAACAATCGATGAAAAGTAAACCAAAGCAAAATACATTTAAAGTTCAAAAATACAAATTAAAGTACAAACTGAAAATAATTATAAATAAGTTATAATATATATGATATTTTTCATATTTAAAGAAAAAATAAAAATTATTTCGTAACAACCGTATCATTCTAAAGAATGTGCTAACATTGAATTTACAACCGTCTTACGATTAACTAAAACTAAGCGCACGCAACTTAAAGCGAAGACATCCTACAATGTTCCGGCGAGATCCCACGGTGCCCCGCTGCTGGGTCTAATATTTTACTTACCAACTAATTGTTCCTACAGTTTAGTTTAGCACCAAAGTGAACTGTAGGTTGCGTAGTCCTTAGCTTGATATCATTTTACAAACATTAATGTTTATCGTTTCATACTTTTATAATTTAGCTCGATAACGTTTTACAAACATTAATGTTTGTAAAACGATATCAATTACCAGGTCTCACCACGAGGAGGTGACTACGCACGAGACCCGCCCCGGGGCTTACAATACGTATCATCCATCCATACAATCATACAAAACATTCAATGCATACTATCATACAATACATACAATCCGTACAATGCATACAATCATACAATACATACAACAATTCGCAGCCCTACCACCGCATTCTGTACAAAGACACGTTTACTGAACTTGGAACGAAATTGGGAATCTCTCATGTCCACCCTTCCTTCGTTCGTTGTTGCTATTGCTACTTTGTACGCTCGACACTGGAGTCGGGTTTCCAAGTTTCGCAGTCAGTGTGCCGAATCGAGGTTCGAACATTTAGAGGCAAACAGTCTGACGCTACCCTCAACGACACAGTGAGGCTCCGCAGAACCGCTGAATCGGATTACCAAGGACGCTAGACTACGAGAATCTCACCTCGTCCTTTCGGAC